CATAGGTTAAGTCTTAAAAGATGTCAAACATCGAAAAATGGAGTCAGACTCTTCAGTGCACCATTTAAACAGGGGAAATTGACACAATGCATAAGGAGTGGGAAGAGATGTTGTTACACAATTGAGGCAAGTAGGATGTGTTTGACACCTGAGTGATCCACATGGGTGTCTTCTGGTACTCCCTTGCCCAATTTTGGTGGAAAATGGACATGCAAAGTAATCTTGGTCTGAAAAGAGTGTGGAACTAGTGGCTAAAGACCTGTCATGTCATCAGGTGAACAAGGAATACAAGCTGAGGGGAAGAAGAACCTAGAATGGAGAGTGAAAAAGGGAGTTCAAGGCTATGAATTGTAACACTGAGACTATCTGCAGCAGCACAACCTGTAGTACACTCTTCCAAACCTTTTATTACAAGCTTTTCCTAGTACAAACGATCCATCAGAACACTGGAGTAGCTGCTTTCCAGGTTTACATGAAGAAGTAAATTTCAACAGCAGGAGGAGCTGACTGTGTTGGACATGGAGGTGTGCCATACAGATTGCTCATTAAGAAAGAAGTTTATTTTTATAGATATTAGGAGTCCTGTCAACAGAGAGCCTTCAGCTTTTAGCTGCTTCAAGAACTGCCTCAGTTACAGGGACCAGCAGTTAGTGTAATGGCTATGTCGCTGGACTCCCATGTAGCCGACCGTGGTTCGAGTCCCAGACCCAGTGGCTTAAACTTATGCCGTGTGCGTGCACATGCGTGCCCAAGATCCCGAGAAGAGAATGGAGGAGAAGGGACTGTGGTGTGTTCAACCCCTCTGGGGGGGTGATTTCTCGCTTTCTATCTCTCTGTCTCTCTCTGTCTGGCGAGCACACATGCCCTATAGCAACAACCTCTCTCTCAAAAAAAAAAGAAAGTAAGAAAAGCAAAAGAAATGCCTTAGTTACAGAGATGTCTCACAGAAAGAAAATGGGACGAATACTCAACTGTTGTAATGCCTTGGTCAGTAAATGATATATGTCACATACATTCATATTCCATTGATGTGAATTTGGTCACATGACCACAGCTAAATGCAAAGGTTGGCATGTGGAAAGGAAAATAGAATTGGTGAATCCCATGCAATCTATATTACTACTCTCATGTATCTGATTACCCAAAATGTTTTCTCCTTTTTGTTTTAAGGGCTTATTAATATATTTTCTTGCTTTATTTTTATTTTTTATATGTAGATGGTTTTATTTCTTTATACTCCATACTTCATAATTATTTTTTCTTCTCTTGCTGTGTTGACTAAGATAACCAGTATAATGTTAAGTAAAATCAATGACATAAAGAATCCTTGTGCCATTCTCAATTTAGTAGAAATTCTGCTAATTTTTTTCCTCAATTAAGTGAGATCTTTGTTCTAGGAATTTACTGAATAAGCCTGAGAAGGTTAAGAAGTTAGGTTCTATTTCAGGTTCACTAAAATGAGCTGAGACATATAAGATGAATAGAAGTAGCCCTTTATGATCTGGCCGCAAGAAAAATTACTGAATGAGGTTAATTTCTGATGATTTCCAGGAACTACTTCAGGGGAAGTGCCTTGCTAATCCCTGACTTCTCTCTGGAGATACTGATATTCCACTCAGAACAAGGTCTAATCTAATTCATTGGGAAGATTTAGAAAGGGATTCATATTACACCTACTCTGGCCTCTGGAGGTAGGGCCTGAGCTAGAGAATAGAAATCTGCAAACCAAGACAGCCACATTAAAACCCTCATTTTGACACCAGCCCACTGTTCGATGTTTATGATATTACTAAAACAATTGATATTTACAAGGTTTTTTTTATTAGATCTCAGGCTCTGTAATTAGCATATCACATGTTTTGCCACATTGAATGTTCACAAAATCCTGGTTACGTGGTTATTATTAGTATTCCTATTTCACAAATGAGGAAAATACAGTGCAGTATTTACATATCTTGCCTAAGATCACAACACAATGTAAGAAGACGAGCTAAGATTTCAATATAATTTAAACTAAACTAAACTCCATGTTAGCCATGAATTTCTGTATTACAAATCATTCCTCTCCTTAACCATAAAACCAGGACTAAGCAAACTTTCATGCAAATGTGTCCAATAAGAAAAAAAAATAAAGACACATCCTGTTGTCTCATGTTTAAGGGAGACAGATCCCACATGGTCAATGATGTGGTTCAAGTCCCAGCCCCAGTGGCTTGAAAAACATACTGGACATGTGTATTTGCATACCCAATATTCAACAAAACAGAGAAACGGAGAAGAAATTGCAACATGACCACACCCCACTGGGTATTTTTTTCCTCTCTCCCTCTCTGTCTGTCTGTCTCTTCTTTAGCAAGTGTACACACCATCCAGGTAAATACAATGAAAAAGAAAAATTAGAATATTTAGGATGCACAAACTTTTCTTAATATACATATCTATTTAGACCTAAAAGTACAACATCTGCAAATGTATTTATTTATTTTTTGGAGATTTTCAGATAATTTTATTTACTTATAATTCATAAATGATTAACAAAATATTATGAACATAATTTTGTTGCTAAAAACTAGCAGAATCAAAATTGGATTAATACACAATGTCACTTGGTATATAACACACAGCAAAATGGAGTTCTCGGGCTAACTTTATCCATTAGTAGGTTTGTATCCCAACTTTTTTACATATCTAGAAATAAGGCAATACAGATGAAACATATCTACTAAATATTTTAAATTATGCCTCCTTCTATATCAGGTTATTACTTCAATTTTAAAGCCATCTGCAAATTAAATAATCTTTACATTATAATTCCAAAATATAAAAACGTTAAGCACCAACTTCACAGAGTCAGTCACAAAACCTGCAATTGTATTTATACATGCATTATTGTTTTCCTGTCATTGAAGCATTTACCCTCAGGGCTAGAGTTTCAGACATATCATCATCATACTTATTATGCCATTTATGTTTGCCAAATTCTAGTGTTGGGATCTTGAATACATATCGTCTGAAGCAAAATCTAGTTTGGTGGGTGAGGATGAGTTGGCAAGCATACAAAGTAAGAAATTGTCGAAGGATCTATGGATACAAAAGCATCAAACATCAGTGAGAGTATAAACAAAAGGACAAACTGACCTGGAGACTCCTACTTGAATGAGAGAAATAGGGGTGCAATATTTGGAAATGAATCTAATTAAGATGCAGAAAAAGAGAGACTGTAAGATATAATGTAAATAAATGCTTGTCCTTCTCTATTTCCAGCTTATAAATTAGCAAGACGGGAACTTCTGGGATGCAGGGAAGGAAGGCAGGCTTGTATATGAGAGTTCATTTCTCTTTTCCTTTTCTTGTCCTGTGCTTATTAAGACAGAAAAGATATAGTCCTAGGAAGTACGCTCTTAGTCTGCCATTCAGTTCTGTAGTAGGAGCACCTTTATCCAATTTCCCAATGGCACTTTGGATAGAGAATTATTTTAATGGGCTGGAAGGAAGGAGACTGAGAATTTTACATATAAGTCACTGCACTTGCATTATATTATGTTCATTTATCTTACTATTGGAATATTGAGATTTGAGGACTTTGCCTACATTATAACTATTTTCCAAAAGGCAGGGGAGGGAGCATTTGTCAGCCCAGTCAACTTTCTTGGAGTTAACTAATTGACAGGGAGTGGGGAACGGGAGGTCTCTGACAAAAAGGAACACTAATATGGAGCCTTCCCATGCTTTGGATAATAAAATGTCACTCATTGAATATATGAATGATTTTTGGCCATAGGATTAGCCTCTTTCAAAGACAGTGAAGTTCTTCCAGGGTTCAATCTCTACCCATGCACAAGGGAAGGCAAGTCAAAGCTCATAATAATTATATCAGGCTACATAATTTATTTATTTCCTTTTGTAATACACACATGTTATTAGCCAATGGCCTCTTTTCCAACTACACTTGTGTTGGGTCCACAACTTTCCCTAGAAAGAGAATGCTTCTAGTATTTTTCTCCAAAATCAACAGCAGGAAGGGTCTATCAAGTTGGATGATAGGATAAGAAGGAGTTACATCAGGCTGATCCAGGAATCTGACTTCCGGGACAGCTACAGCTTCAGTACCCTTTTCACCAATATGCAGCACATTCTTGTGGGCAACCTGTTGGGGGAGAAAAAACATTGCTAGTCCCCTGAAGAAATCGAAACCATCTTTGGGAGGATAGGGCAACCTGTTGGGGGAGAAAAAACATTGCTTGTCCCCTGAAGAAATAGAAACAATCTTTGGGAGGATTTGGATGTAGGGAAGGAAAAGAAAGGAAGGGCCACCCCTGTGTTGATGGTGCTTAAATATGAATGCTACTTGGCAAAGTGTAGTTAATGAATCTCTGGTGATTTTAGGGCTAGCTTTCAGGGAACCAACTTATTCTACATAGTCTTCTGCCTCCAGGAGTCACCTCTCAGACACCCCTACCTCCTCAAGAACTGTGTCTAACAAAAGTCTCTTCAGGCAATTAAACTCTTTTATCAGAATTGTTTTAGGGCATGATGGAATGAAAAGAACTGTTATAATGACTTATTTGGGTAATGGGAATGACACTGAAGTGATTCTGGCCTAGGAGGAAACATACTGCTTTTCTCCACATCAGGCTCTCTTTGGTAAAATTAGAGAGTTTAATTAATCGATTCTAACTTGCCTTCCTGTGCAAATATTCAAGATCTAATCTACCAACTTACATTGGAAAGCTTCAGACCACTATCCTCTGTGAGTCCAGGAAAAGCAGCATTTTCAGCAAAGGTATCCTGGATGCCCATCTTCAAAAGCATGGCTCCAAGATCATATGTGGCAGAAATAGAAAATTTTGGAACAAACAATTCAACCCACCTAAGGAAAAAGAGGAGGGTGACGCATGGTGAGCATGGTGATCACCACACTTTGCTCATAGTTTTCTCTATTATATGGGACTCTGCTCTTCCCCTGAGTGTTGACAATCATTGCTATGTAGATCAACATATGGCATTAAAACCACAGAGGTTATTCTGCAAGGAATATACTCCGATTAAGCCAATGTTTGTCTGTAACTCTTGTGAGTTAGGAAATGTGTCCTTTACAATCAAAAGGAAATACTTTTAGATGTTGGCCAAAATTGGGTGGGGACCTAGTAGCATGAAGACCAATGAGTAGCACACAGGAACTTTATGGTTTTCTGTCTTTTATTCCTAGCCCAGAATGACTGCCTACCCACCTCTTGGCATCAAAATCCTACCACTCCTCCAAGTTTTTAGTTGGTTTCTAGGAAGGCATCAATTTACTTGTAGGCTGACTTCAGAAAAATCATTTTGTATTTATAGGCCATGCTTTCCAATTTGAAAAATGCTAGTGATATTACTTCTACTGTAGGTTTGTTGATGTACTTAGATGAAATGTAGTGTGTGAAGTGCATGGTAAAGGGCCTGGGATACAATATACTCTTGGCTTATTTAATAATCATCACACAGCTATTAGGTGGTTCAGGGTGATCCACTTTCCTCTGGGTTTCATCTGAAGTCAATCTCACCTGCACCATTATGCCTACCTTCCACCCCTCACATCCTTTAAGATGTTTACCCCTTCTGCAGTAAGCGATTCCACTTCTTTAGTGTTTTAGATGACATGGCTGCTTCCACCCACTCCATCTGTCCCTCCTTGGGAAGGACAATGAGTGCCAAGGAACTCTCGCTGTAGTCCATTTGCAGGACTGTGCAATTCAGTTCCATATCCACCAGATAATAGTATTGTTCCATCTGATGCATCCTGGGTACTCGTACCATGGTGGTCTTGTCCACTAAGAAGCTGGAACTTTCTTCTGTCTTGGATGGATCAAAAGGATTTGCCCACTGGGCTTAAAATACAGAGAGAAGAGAGGAGTTTGTTTTTAAGCCAGTATTAGTGCCAACGGGAGTTTTTCCATTAATCATATCTTTTAGTAATTAAGATCACCACAGAGGTATGTACCTACTGTCAACCAGTTTTACAATTGAGTGGCTGAAGGTCGGGGAAAGAAAATCAGTTGACATGGCCTCCCACCTAGCAGGTGGCTTAACCAAGAGTCACACCCAGGGATATTGAACTCCACAATCTGTGTTAAAAACCACTATACTTACACTAAACCCATCAGAGTCACAGTTTCCTCTTCTGTAAAAAGGCACAAGGACATCCAACACACAGGGTGAAATGAGACAACAGATCTGTTCAGCCAGTTTAGCCATCTATAAATGTGTGGCCAACAATTGTTCAATCCTCCAACAAACATGGCTGACAAGTGCTGTGGAACCAGGAGAAATCATTTGGGCACAGACCTTCAGAAAAGAGTCATATGAGTCTTGCTGTTATAAGCACTAGCTTTAGAGTCAGACTGACCTGGCTAGGAATACCAGCTCTGAAACTCATTAACTGCGTCAACCTAGGCACTTGTGAGGATTGAATAAGACAATGTGTGTAAACCACACATGTAGCACAGAGATTGGTACATAGTAAGTGCAAAATATATGATGAAAATATTTATGTAATATGCCAAAATGTGTACATCAAGTCAGAGTCACAGTAAGGTAAATACACATCTATCTACCTGCCAAATACAGGATGGTCTCACCTCACCAAATTTTTTGGAATCCATGATGCTTTAGCAAAATATAAACAGGATGTTCATACCATTGTCACCCACCTCTCTGAATGTGTGCTTTCCCTAGAAATTTCCTGGGCTCATTCACAAAGTTGTATGTCCTTTCTGATTGATCCAATACTATGCACAGCTATGTCCAGTGGAGTAGATCACTGTGGTATGAGGGACATCTACTGATGCCAGTAATAAGAGACAATGAACTCCCCCAAGAGCTTCACCAAAATATCTGAACACTAGACTTGAAATTCACACGTTGGAGCCTTACCTTTAAAATGAATGTAGCTCACAAGGACCATGATGGTATTTGGTTTGAGGTCCTGGATTAGACCCACAACTTTTCCTTTGGTTTGCTTCGCCACATGACTGTTGATCTCTTCCTGGGCTACAGAAATATTGGAGAAGTCAGTAGAAAAGACTTCAGTCTCATAGAGAGTCTTGACATCATTCGAGAATTTTGCCAGTGGTTTCAGTTGCTTCCCAATGAAGAGAGCATTTCCCATCTGCAATTCCAGTTCTTTTTTTGGAAGGTTCAGTGAACAAATTAGGTGCTGGAAGCCCTGCTGGATCTCTGACATTGGAGTGTCTGTGAGGTTGAACCCCAAGACCTCCAGAATCTGAGTTTGGGTGCTGGGGCAGGTCCCAAAGGAAAGCATGGCCAAAGATGCAGAAATGCTCACAGGGGAGAAAAAGATATTCCGATTTGGAGCCTCAACAGTGAACCTCCGGTACAAGTTGAATGCAAAGTCAGCATTGATAGACGACATCTTATAAAGAGTGGCATTTTGTTGGGGCAAATGGCAGGTGGTTACTTTGCCTTCAGAACTGTTAAGTGATGCACAATAAATTGTAGCATGAAGCCCAAGTGTCAAGAGAGCCAGATAGAGAAACTGTGGCATTTTGGAAGGAAGATAATCTATAAGAGATGAGGTGAGAGAAGCATTAGGGGAGCTTAGCTATAAGAAATACTCTCTAAAGTAGACACATAATAACCACTCACCTTGATTAATAAAATAATAGCAAATATTTGATGGTATACACACCAGGGGCTAGGCTTCTCTCCCCTGACTAACTGATGACACATGTGATGTGGACAGAGAGTAGAAGTGGTTTGTCAGGTCCACAGAAATAATGCATACACTCTCATTTAGATGTAATAGCTCCATATGAAAACATTGTGAGTAAATGAAATTTATGGATATTATATAACTATTTATTTGAACTTCTCTGGAAAGGATAAATGCTTAGGGAAGACTATCACTCCCTCTGCTTACATTATTTCATGTAGATTAGAATTAGGGATTATGGTTTTTTTTCTTAATTTGTCATTTTTAAAGATAATATCTATGATATGAAAGAATACCTATACATTACTTGACTAAAAGATGAAGTGAAAATAATTTGTAATTGAAATAAAAGTAAAATGGAAGCATAATTTCTGTTTTAGATTTCTTTCACCATAGGTGTCATCTAAGGTTGTTTCTAAGTTTCTAAACATCTTAACACTATTATTTTTACCCTCATGCGTGTTACTTTTTAATTACTAGCAGAAAAGTCAGAAATACATGGTATAATCTTCTCTAAGCCTAGAAGAATAAAAAAAAAATAGAGTAAGAACGCCTTCATCAGCCCTCCCTCTTCGTCCTGAGTGATTTCATCTTAACCACTCTACTGCTACCTCACAAAACTCTGTCTCTCTAGTCCAAATAGCTCTCCTGAGTTCCTAGCCATTTATTCATCTGCCTATTATATTTATCTACCAGGATGGTCCACACATACTTCAGTCTCAATGTGAAAATCTCAAAGTTTCCAAAGGTGATTGTGTCATCTTCCTTCCTCTCAAGTCTGTTCCTTCATTTTCATTTTACATCTCAGTCTATCATATCATTGAATATGGAGAACACTATTCCAGAAACCTGGAAGTCATGCAAAGGACTTCATTCTCATTCCCTACATCTAACAGTCACAATGCCCTATGAATACTACCTCCTAAATACCACTCAAAACTTCTCCATTCTCTCCACTCCTACTGTCACTGCCTCAGTTCATAGCCTGAACCACTATGTCAGCTCTTGGCCGGTCACACAGACATCTATGTTCTCTATCCCAACCTCATTTCTTCTATCATTCTATCTAATCTCCATATTGTCACCAGAGTCTCCTTTCTTTAAAAGTCATTAGACTGATAGAAGTTCAATTATCAGATGACCACATTTAGACCGTGGTCTCTAAAGCTAGGAATTTGGAACTCACAGTTATTTGGAACTCCAACTTTGCTGACAGAGATGTTCAAAATTCTCAAAGAGAAAAAACAAAAGTACTTACAGCATAAGCCCAAGAAGCAGTTTGCATCTCTCAGAAAGCAATACTTTTCCATCTTTATAACTTGCCCTGTATTGCAAAACTAGATCACTTTTAGTTACAAATTAACCCCAGAATTAACCGTGGGATGATATTTTCAAAGCTGATGCACAAAACCAAGGCCAAGAGGAACAAAGCAAAAAACGATAACGTTTGAACTTTGGGTGATTTCTTTGGCTGGTGGATCTTTCATCTAAAACAAAAGAGAAAGAGGATTGTCGGAGTTGGCAGGGTTGAGGTTCATGCTAGGAAAGATATCTTTTCAGCAGACAGAATGAGGATCATGAGTAAAAGTAGCAAGAGGCAGCAGTACTAGGATTGGCAATCTTTTGAGGAAAAGGTGCACACAGGCACCTGGGTGAGCCTGTCTAATAGTTGCTATTAAAATCATTTGTGGATTGGCAGAGAAAATTATGTCAAACATAACTTCCAGCCCTAAACTTCTGATGTTGCATAAATATGACAGAACTTCAAAAAAGTTCACAGAAAAAAAATGAAATGAAAATATGAGTTTATTTTGGTATTTAAAAAATTTAAATCTAGGGCTAGCAGGTGGCATAGTGGTTAAGGTACTGGATTCCCATGTTGCCAACCACAGCAGCTTGAAACTAACACTGGGTGCACATGCATGCATGCCCAGAGTACCAGGAGGAGAGCAGAGAAGAGACTGCAGTATGGCCATCCTCCTTCCCACCAGGGCTTTGATTTTTTGCTTTGTGTTTCTTTGGTGAGCACATGTACCCTATAACAAGAAATCTCTTTTTTAAAAATAAATTGAAACCCATGTGTAGTTTTTTCATAATATGTAGTTTCCATGAACTTTTTGAGAAAACTTTGTATACATCTGTTCAGGGACAAAATCAGTCCTCTCTTCTGGTGACTAAAATTCCTGGTTGCAAGATTCCAAATGAGGATGTAGAAGGATCCAAGGAGAGTGGAATTAAAAATCCACTATCCATAGGACTAGCAGATGGCATAATGGTTATTTCGCTGGACTCCCATGTAGTAGACCGTGATGCGAGTCCCGGACCCAGTGGCTTAAACTCACACCGGGCGTGTGTGTATGTGTGCCCAAGATCCTGAGAGGAGATTGTAGGAGAAGGGATTGTGGCATGGCCATCCCCTCGGGAGATGCTTTCTGTCTCTCTGTCTCTCTCTGTCCTTCCAGCAATCACAGCACACACCCTATAGCAAAAAACTCTCCAAAAAAGTAAATAAATTCATTATCCAGTGTTCACTGTGTACTATGTATAAAGAATCAGCAGGGAGACCAGCAGGTGGCACTGAAGTTTTAAGGCACTGGACTCACATGTGGCCAGCTACAGTCCGAGTTCCAGATCTGAAGAATTGAAAATCATGCTAGGCATGTGTGTGTGTGTGTGTGTGTGTGTGCCCCAAAATCCCAGGAGGAGAGTGGAGGAGAAGGGATTGTTGCATGACCATTCCTCATGTGGGGTAATTTTTTACACTCTCTTTCTTCGTCTTTCTCTAGCGATTTCACTCACCATATAGCAAAACCTACAAAAAAAAAAAATGAAGAAGAAGAAGAAGAAAAGAAGAAGCAATAGGAGCAAAATGCACTGGATTCAGTAAGGAGACCTGAGTTCAACCTTACCTCTGCCAATTTCTAGCTCTAGGAGTACTATTAATAATGGTATTGAAAGTAGTAGTAGCAGTAGTACTAGTCAGAATAACAGCAAATTCTAACTGGCCATGTGCAGGATACAATAAGCATCTAATTCCAGATACTGCCTGCTTCAGTAATATGTTAAGATGCATATTAAATGTGTGAGGTGTAGTGGGATGCGGAGCCTCAATATGTTCTTTGGGTGGACTTGGAAGCTAATATAAATAGGGCAGACTTTACCCTGAGGATATTGGGAAGCTGCTGGTGAATTTTGATGAGGCGAAGTCTGGACAGAGGTGATTCTGTGTCTCTTTGTTTCTTCTCAACCAACCAAAGCCTAAGTTCCTACTATGAGGAAAGCACCATACTCAGCAGTAGAGTTTCAGAGATGAATGGTAAATATCAGTCCTGAACCTAAGGGATCTTTTAACTGTCTGGCACCTACTGCCCAAATTGAATATGCAGGATCATACCTCACATATGAGGTCACTGGGTACATGTGTTCCACCACCAGGCCAGACCATGCTCAATCCTGATAACATACCTGCTTTCAGATACATCAAACCCCTAAAGAAGTATCAGAGAAAAACTCTCTGTAAAGTAAACCCACACCTGGGCCCTCTGGTGGTATAGTCAGATAATAGCACAGGCTGTTTTCTATTGCATCTGATTCAGTCTAGCTTTGCTAGCAGGTAGTAACTGCAGGGCTTGTCTCTGACATAAGAAAGGCACCCTTTTACTTGAAGGCTCCCCCATTATCTTCTCTACAGTCAGGGACAGTAGATGTACATTCCTGTCATTTCTCTGCTATGTAATACTTGTGTAATTTGGGGCAAGTTAATTAAAATTTGGCAATCTCAGTTTCTTCTCCTCTATTATGGTCATGATAATTCCCACATAATGTGGCTATTGGGTATATAAAATAAAATTTAGACGTGGTGTTCAGAAGCTCCTATTGTAGTGACAGACATATAGTGAGGACTGAGGATTCAGCAATTGTTTTGTCTTCCCTTTCATCTAATATCTTGATTCTCTTCTCTCACCTCAAGTCTCCATGAACCTTAGGTTCCATCCCCATCCCTTACTGCTGTTCAGTTCTGCTTTATGCAAATACATCCTCCTTAAGATGAAATTGACTGATACGCTGTAAGACCTTCCCGTAAACGTATTTAGCACAATAATTTGGTCTTGCATAAAGCTGCTAGAGCTAGCACATCAGATACAGAATCTTTAGTAACTGTTACTATATCAATAAATATAATCAGATCTAAAATTGTATGTCTCCTTTGGAGGAAAACCATCATAATATCTTTCCACAAAAATTCCTTATTATTTTATTTTATAAATATTTATAACTAGTTCTTTTAGTGTGTAAAAGAACTAGTTCTTTTAGTATGTAAATAAATTTCTATTTGTTTTGACTTGATATTTGATCCCCATATAAGATGAAATGATGGAATCTTACCTTGCTTGTAGGTCTAGAGAAAATAATGGATATTGGATGGTAGTATTTTTTTTACAATGTCCTATTACATTTTTTTGCATTTTTTATGATTTATTTTACATTCATCCCCTGAACCTCATCACAGCATACAAAAGGCAGTTTCCCATCCAGAATACATTGTATAGTGGCTTAGTCATACATGTTATCAACAAAACATTTTCCATTTCTTGTTCCATATATGTATATATATCCCCCCCATTTCTCACCCTCTGTCATTTCCCACCCTCCTCCCATACTATCTCTGGTATCTGCAGGTGCTTTCCATTCCTTTTTGTTTTACCCCAAAATTTTATTGGTTAACAAAATATCTTAACTGATCTAGCTACTTTCAATAGCAAGTTCAGCTGATATATAAATATCTGAACAAATGTTTGACTTTAGGCATGAAACTGTGACTAGAGTGAATATACTATAAAATAGCACCTAGTGGAGGCTATATAGTTTATTGCGGTCCTTAAATAGGTATTTTTTAATATATATTTTTAATTTCAAGAAAGGGAGTTTTAGATTTAATAAATCAAAATTTAAAAAAATGTTAAGAGAACTTTTCTTAAGACTTAAAGTCAGGAAACAGGTTAGGATTCTGTCCAAATAGTAGGTACATGGATCTGTCAACAATTCGAGAGAAGACAAAATTTCTTATCTCTGAAGAAGAAAGCATAGAAAAAGATCAGTATTGTTTTAGTCAAAAGTCATAAAATTAGGGGACCAGCAGTTGGTATAATGGCTATGTTACTGAACTCCCATGTAGTTGACTGCAGTTTGAGTCCCAGATTCAGTGTCTTAAACTCATGCTGGGCATGTGTGTGTGCGTGCCCAAGATCCTGAGAAGAGAATGGAGGAGAAGGGATTGTGTCGTGACCATATCCCCTGGGGTGTGATTTCTCGCTTTCTGTCTCTCTGTCTCTCTGTGTCTTTCTGGCAAGTACACGCACCCTATAACAACAACAAAAAAAAAAAAAAACAACTCTCAAAAAAATGTCATAAAATTCTATTTCACCAGCTCAGTCACATGTACTTAACCTAACTTCTGCTGTGGTCCAAGCTTTCCATTTAAATTCTAGAAGATAATATTCAACTCCAGACTTGCCCCTACCATTAAGCTGGCCCTTTCCTCCAATGTTTTTTTAACTCTTATTCCTGTGTGTCTGACTTTAGTTTTCCTGATACATTACTCCTTTCAGAGCTTCTTGGAGAATTGGTCTGGTGTCGATAAATTTTTTCAGGTTTAGTTCATGTAAGAATGCTCTATTTTGAATATATTTCCTTGCTCACATTGCTTTTGATGAGAGGTCTGCTGTTATCCTGATGGGATATCCTTTGTAGGATTTGTTTCTCTCTTGTCAGTCTGATTATTTTGTCTTTGTCTGAGGTTTTGGTCAATCTGGCTATAATGTGTCTTGGAGAAGATCTTCAGTTGATTCTGTTTGAGGTCTCTTGTATTTCTTGGGTCTGGATATTTGAATGCCTCTCTAGGTTTGGAAAGTTTTCTTCCAGGATTTCATGGAATAGACTGTCAATGCCCTTATTAGTCTCTTCACCTTCTAGCATACCAATTGTCCGCATGTTTGGACATTTCATGGTATCTAGTACTTCACGTATATTATTCTCATTTTTGGGACTATTTTCTCAGTCTTTGTGGTAGATTTTTCTGTTTTCTACATATGAGATTTTTTATGTTCTGTATGGTCTGGTCTGCTTTGTTTGTTTGTTTTTGGAGAGGTTTTTGCTATATGATGGATGCGCTATCCAGAAAGACAGAGAGACAGAAAGCGAGAAATCACCCTCCAAGAGGGATGGCCACACCACAATCCCTTCTCTTCCATTCTCTTCTCAGGATCTTGGGCACGCATGCACAGGTACCCAGTGTGAATTTAAGCTACTGGGTCCAG